TGGCCTTGGGGACTGCCCCACCCTTGGAGACTTAACCCCTGGGTCATAACTTTGAAATGGTTAATATCCCCACCCCAAAACTATATATACAATTGTTGGGCATAAAGAGACGAATGCAGTCATGATATTAGAATTGATCCCAGGGTCTGCCCCACCCTTGCAGACTTGGCCCCTGGGTCATAACTTTGAAACGGTTGAGATCCCCACCCCAAAACTATATATACAAATGCTTGGCAAAAAGAGACAAATGCAGTCACGATATTAGAATCGATCCTGGGGTCTGGCCACAACTCTAGGGACCTAGTTTCCGAGTCGAAGCTTGGAAACAGTTGAGATCCACACCCCATAACCATACATAAAATTGCTGGGCATGAAAAATCTAATATAGCTATTCTACAAGGATTGGCATTGGGGTCTGGCATTTTCCCTTGATCTCATTTGGAGAATAGTTTGCCATGATTGCTTAGGTATCCAGGTGAGCGATACAGGCCCTCTGGACCTCTTGTTTATAGCATGTCAGCTAACCACTCTTAAAATGATGCAGATCTTATTTCAATGTAAGAAAGTATATAACAATATATGGCATTCGCAGGCGTATATTTTTTCGCCCCGCAGTACTCTTGTTCAAGTGATGGGGGGATATTTCTCTTTGTTTTGTGCATGCTTACTGTAATTTGAGTGATAGATTAAGCAATATGGCCAACTGGTCACCATCAAGTATTTCAAGTATTTGTAATAAATTGCGCATGTTGGCTTTTGTGACATGGAATAAACCAAGTTGTTGACAGTTTGCCATCTTTGATTTTGACAGGTTAAGTTTGTTATTGCCGTTTCTCATGATCAGAAAGTACTCGAGGGGATTTTCCTCAAATTTAATTTGTAGGTTCCCCTTGTTTGAAAAATATCCCGATACATAATACAGCATTAAAGGCATTTTTGTAATGGTAAAATTGTTTTGATGTCCTTGTACACCAAAGTAGTTACTCAAGGTGAAAAAGTGTAGGACAAACATTTTCAAAAGTAAAGGTCAAGTCAGGGGACAGCGACGTTATTCTTAAACTCTGCCATCCAAAGATCTCCTTGTAAACCAAATCTGGTTAATCCAGGTAAAATATTATAAGATATATTTCCCAGACAAACTACTCGAAAGGATGGACAGGGGTGCAAACCAAACCCCCCCCTCCCTGGAACTGCTTGGATGAGTAATTAGCTGTAAAGCTAACCGATTACCACAGTAGCGATCATTGCTTTGGTACATTGATCTTGGTGGATTGGATGCGTCATGGTTGTGTTTTGAGGACAGTTTAGCTCGAGAGGCAATGATGAAGTTTTATATAAGAAGCTATTTGGATCAATGTGCCCCGCTTTGACCATCAATGCATGTTTGGTTGGTCTTGCACTTATAGTTTCAGAGAAATTGACTAAAACAACTCGATGTTGATGGAGATGCTGACAAAGTCTATGCTCCCTAGGGAACAAGAAAGATATTGACTGGTATTGGTTGCAAAGGCCCTATAATAACCATGTATAATATTAAACTTGTGAACCGCTTTGAGACGACCTACGGACTCAATAATAAACACTAACAAGAGGCCAATGGGCCTTAACGGTCACCTGATATATTTATACAGAGAGTTGATTTTGTTTTTAACATGAACAGAAATATTATTCAAAGTGACAAAAAACAATAAAACCACCTTACTCAATATCTAGCATACAGATTTCAGACTAAAAAGGATTTGAAACTAGCACCT